TTTTGTGTAAACAACACTTGTGTAAGTCAAATCCTATCTGAACCAAACAGAAGTCTCCACTGTAAGAAAATCAGCAGTGAACTTTTATAGAGCTTAAATCATTTTTAAGATTATGAATCACTTCAGAGTCATTTTCTATCCCGGAAGCTGATATTTTTATGTTATATTTTCTTAAAATTTGGCAAACTTTAAAAGATGAAATTCTATGCAGGGCGTAGAATAGTTCTTGACCCAAATTAAGTGGGGGGAGGGAGGGGGGGGAGCTAACCATTACATGCATGCTATGGGTTGAACTGTGTTCCCTTCATAATGTTGAAATCAGAATCCCCAATACTTAAGAATGTGACCTTATTTGGAAACAGGGTCTTTGCAGATGTTATCAAATTAAGATGTCATTAGTGTGAGCCCTAATCCAATGTGCCTGATGGCCTTATAAGAAGAGGAAAATGCCGTGTGATGACAGAGACAGAGTTTGGAGTGCTGAAGCCAAGGAACGCCGAGGATCACAGCCATGACCAGGAACAGGAAAAAGACAAGGAAGGTTCTCCCCCGAGTGTCAGAGGGAGCATGGCTCTGCTGACACCTTGATTTTGTACTTCCGGCCTCCAGAACTGTGAGAGAACAGATTTCTGTTGTTTTCAGCCTCCCAGTTTATTGTAATTTGTTATAGGGCTCTTAAAAAAATGAGCAGAAGGAAATATATTATTGACTGTAGTCCTTGTTTGGTGAAATTATGGATGTTATTTTTTTTGTGTGCGCTTCTCTGAAGTTTCCAAATTTCCTCCATGAACATGTCTTAAGGCTTTAAGGGCCTGAGAAATAGCACCCAAGTTGAGAATATTCAAAGAATTAAAGCAGATGAAGAATAAAATATCATTCTTATAATTGGTAAACACAGGGTTGCTCAAAAATCAGATTTCATCCTTTCTTAAGGCTGAGTAGCATTCCTCAGTGAGACTTCTCCTTTTGCCCAATTCTGATTCTTTTGTCTCCCTCCCAAAGTATTGATCTTATCTCAGAGCACCCCAATAAACTTTCTGCTCTCAAATCACCTTCTCAAAGTCCATTTCCCAAGGAACCTAACCTACAGCACACATATGCCTTAGGTTGGTTCAAAGCAAAACATCTACCAACTTGTTTTAAGTCATGAAAGTATTTCCAAGGGCACTGTTTTGAAACAGAAAACTCACCTTGGCTTGCAATTTTGAGGTATATGTTAGCTCGATAGTTACAAAACAGTGTGCATGCTATGATTGCAATTAAAAACATATTTATAAGTACATACATTTCATAATAATAAAGACTTGAGGACATAGTCAATGAACTAATACTTTGCATGTAACGACTTGCTTTCAGGCATTAAGTTCAACATTACATAAAAAATATGAAAATGGCAATTAACTGCAAGTGATGGAATTAGAAGTGGTTATATTTTCTTCTTCCTCTTATTAGCACATTTTCCAAATTTTATTTTATTAATCCTCATCCAAAAATATTTTTCCATTGATTTTTAGAGAGAGTAGAAGGTGGGAGGGAGGAGGAGAGACAGAGGGAGAGAGAAATATCAATGTGAGATAGACACATTGATTGGTTGCCTCCTGCATACTCCCCAACCAAGGCCAAGGATGGAGCCTGCAACCCAGGTATGTGACTTTGACGTGAATCAAACCCAGGACCTTTCAGTTTGGGGGTTGACGCTCTATCCACTGAGCCAAACAGGCTAGGGCTGTTCTGTGATTCTATACAAAGTTATAAAAATTATTTTATCAATAAATAGATGTTTATTTTACCAAGTATTTCAAAAAACATTTGCTAAAATATTTATATAACATGTAACCTCGAATTTTTCTCTCCACTCTGCAAAGTCCGAGGCATTCAAGAATAAGATATATCAGTTAAACAGAAGTTTAAAGAGCAAGTTGTGAATTTCAAGATTTGGGATATGCAGAATTGTTATTTAATTCTTTTGTACTGGGAAAAAAAAAGATAGCTTGAGTATTTTATGAATCATTTTCATTTTGAAACTGAGAAAAGGGAACTCTGATGTACTTCTCACTGGCCTCAGATAGATTACACAACAAAAGGAACTTAAAAATTTCCCTGAATTGAGTCTGACAAAATCACCATACACATCAAGAAATGCAGAGCCTAGACTTGAGAGTTTGGGACCAAATGCTGATGTTTTATTTACGCCCATCTAGAATCTGTCATCCAAAAATTACATCCATTACTTTTTCTTTGCCACCTGTTTATTTAGAATTCATTCTTAATTGACTATATTTGGTCTTCAGTCTGGAGAGAAAAAGTCAACATATCGTCACTCTCAGGCTAAAAGGACAAATTATAGGCCAAATATTTTATAATATCATTCCTCCCCCCAAAACATATTTGTTTGGCTTTTTACTATATTGGCTCAAATAAATGTATTTAACTACCTCTCTCTGGCAAACACTTCTAACTGAACTCAAACAAGGGTACTTGAAAGTTAATGAAAATGTGGGCATTTTAATGTAAACTTCTCCAGTTGCTAATAAATTTCTGCCAAGCCAAGATAAAGTGTGAGATGTAAAGATAAATTGACACCTTCCAAATTATGAGTCTGGCCATTGTGGTTCCATGCCAAATCACATCCAGAGTGGCACTGTCTGACCTAATTGAACATGGTGTAACTAAGGAGATGGGTCGTGAGAAGCCAAGAGAGTTAACCCCTTTCAACAGTGTTTTCGACTTTCTCTGATCTTGGAACAAACAAAATCACAGCAAAGACTTCCGGGAAAATAGTGAATGTTCATCACTTTCAAAGAAATCATAGAGTAGTCAGTAGAAAATTGCTTAAGTTGGGCGGCCCTTATTAGGGAAGGTGGGAATTAGTACCATGAATTGCTGGAAGCTAACTGGGTCTCGGATAGCATGTGGTGGGGAAGGGGAAGCACTGGGCACTTTGGTCTCTTGGATTGTGGTCAAAACCAAGGTCACCTCCCTTGGTCCTAAATGGCTTTCTACATTGTGTTCTCTTTTATGGGGTTTCCTAGATTCCTCGGTCTATCCTGCAAGCTGTTGCTACACTAATCTCCCTAAAACAGCATTGCTTTCCACACATGGGTGATTTATAGACTCTATGGTTTAAGGAAGAGAGAGAGAGAGAGAGAGAGAGAGAGAGAGAGAGAGAGAGAGAGAGATCAGAATACAGCCAAGAGATTGTGTATATATGCATCCTATTGGTCTGTTTCTCTGGTGAATCCTGACTAATATGACTAATACAATTGATATGATTCATGACAAGTCTCTGACATTTAACAGGTGCTCAATATATATTAGCACCATTCTCTCTTCCCTAGAGGCCACTTCATTCTACAGGTAAGAAGGTGTTGGCCCAAGAGATGTTGTCCCAGGACTTGTCCACTATCCCAATGAAACCTTGAAAAGTTCTGAGAAGATAAACCAGACAATTGCATTTGAGCATCACAATTTAAGAGATCATTTTGTTTTCTACAACTAGTCTTTAAAGGGACTTCAGAGTTCATCTGATCTAAAAATCACAAGGTATTGGCTTGAGGGCCACATACTGGTATGTCATGATGTCATGTTTTCTTAATTTAAGATTTGAGAAAAGTCACATAAGTCTGTATTTCTAGCTTCTCTTGAGGAGTTGCAAGATCAGATGACCTCAAGCCTACACACCTGCCTGGCAACATTGGGCTGGAGGTGAGGGGTCACTGCCACCACAGACAGGACACAGGTCATCAGGCCACTTTCCTCTTTTGTGTCACCCATGAACTCCTGTAGACATCTGAGTCTGCGCTTCTCTGTGTCACCCCGCTCCTTTAGTTTATAAAAGAAGGAAGAGATGCAGAGAGCCTAGTGTGCTTGCACAAGGTTGTGCAACTGGGATGAGCAGAGGAGGGTCTCAAACCAGGTTTCTTGCCTCACAGGCAACTTAGAATATGCTCTATGCCAAATGGCACAAATACTTTCATTGATAAATTAAGTGATTCCAGTGGGTCTTTTTCCCCCAATAAGCTTATTTATTTCAGAAGTCAGATCTCATTCAGCGTCACAAATGAATGAGAGTGCATTAAGATTATTGTGATTATAAGCACAATTCTGGGGTCAGACAAAACCAGCTCTGACATGACCTTGGGCAAGCTTCTCATTGCTTTGATAACAAGTGTACATGTCACAGTGCACAGGCGAGGATTAAGTAAAATAGCTCATCATGTGAAGTGCTCAGAACAGTGTCTGGAATATGTCAAGCATTCAACAAAGGTTGTTGAATTATGATGTCGGAGGAATTAAAATAAATATAGCAAAATAGCAATGTAGCTAATGATTTTGCGCCTGCAAATATGTATGAGTTCATAGCAATCCCACCAATTCGAAGCCAACACCATGGTGTTTTTCTCACGGTCTCCCATTTTGTATACGTGTTCTATGTACTCATTTGGTCTAACCTACAAAACATGAAAAATGTTAATACCTACTGCTAATTAAAGTTCAAGATTTATTTGTGATGGTTTTCACCCTTAATGTTGCACAGTGGGTATTATGTTCAAATAAGACTTGAATTAACTCCCTGTGTCTGGATGATTGAGTTATCAATATGACATATGGTTGGGTTAATTTTCTGGTGTTTGTATTGATTTTAGAATCTGCTTAATTTCAATCTTTCTGAGTTAGTTTTGTTTTTTAATCTGTTATACTCAAGTTTCAAACCATAAGCACTATGTATTATAATTAAGTACTGAAAATAGCAGAGGGCCTGTCTTCTAAAACAGCAGTTCTCAACCTGTGGGTCGCGACCCCTTTGGGGGTCGAATGACCCTTTCACAGGGGTCGCCTAAGACCAACGGAAAACACATATATAATTACATATTGTTTTTGTGATTAATCACTATGCTTTAATTATGTTCAATTTGTAACAATGAAAATACATCCTGCATATCAGATATTTACATTATGATTCATAACAGTAGCAAAATTACAATTATGAAGTAGCAATGAAAATAATTTTATGGTTGGGGGTCACCACAACATGAGGAGCTACATGTATTAAAGGGTCGCGACATTAGGAAGGTTGAGAACCACTGTTCTAAAATCTTAGAGACGAAGAAGAAGGAGACCATTATTATAAACTGTGTCTTGGAGGTGGGGACCAGGAACTAACAAAGTTCCTGCCCTCTTACAGCTTGCATTCCAGTAAGGGAGACAGAAAATAAATAAGTGGATACTGAAATTCTGTGTTCCACTGCGCTAAGTGCAACGAGAGGTAGCTGAGTAGACTGAGGAGTGGTGTTTGTACAGCCAGACTCCATCAACATTCACTCTGGAACATTGGTCAAGCAACACACTTTTCTGTCCCTCATCTATGAAATGCAAATAAAAATAATGCCTACCTCATATGGATTTTTTCGAGAAGTAAGCAATATATTTTTAAAATACTCAGGATCGTATCTAGCACACAGGAAGTACCATGAAAGTTTTAAACTAATTAATAGGAGAAAATTAATGCAGAGAAGGGGCAGAAGGCTGTAAGAAGAATGGAGGGGTACAACATATATGGGGTGGTCAAGGAGGGCTTCACAGAAGAGGAGTAGTGGAGATGACTGACTCTTGCTTAGTATTTATTATTTTCTTGTTCTTCTTGTTAAATAAACAGAATTCATCAACTCCCATTTTAAACTAGAAACCTGGTTTCCCGTCCACAGAATACATTCTCAGCTCTACAGTGGGGTATGGCCAATGGGATATGAGTGTGCATGATTCATGCAATTTCCTGTTATTCTTAAAGACAGAGACACTGCCACAATTTTCCTTCCCTTTGCTAAACAACAGCCTAGAGATGCTACACTGTCTGTACTGTCAAATCCACTCTGGGGATGAGAAGAATGGGCTACTGTACGTGTGTCAGTACCTGCCTCCCTCTGCTGGCAGTTCTTATATTTGTTTACATACTGGCTAGTCTTTGCTAGGTAGTGTTCTGGTATTTTACTGACCTTGAATATTTGCTATAGGTTTCCTTTACATACTCAGTCTTTATAAGGGCATTTTAAGTAGAGCCAGGTTTATGAAATTCTATTTTTGCCTCAAATTACAAGATGATAATTGAAAAAACTCATGTCATTGTCATCATCATCACCACCACATCAATAATTCACCTTTGTCCCATGCTTTTCCTAACATTTTCCCCCTGCATTTTCTCATTGGATCTCACATCATCTCAGTGAGGTAAGTAAAATGTCATTCCCATTTTATGCAAGAGAAAACTGAGGCTCAGAAAGGTGATGTGACTTGCTCACTGTAGGACTCAGGTAGAATGTTTTGCCATGAATCCTATCTTTTTTGCCACTTAGGAATATGCTCCATGTGACTAAGAACCTTGGATAACATGAAAAACAAGCTAGAGACCACCGTGACACTTTATATCCTAGGTAATGTTTTTCTAACCTTCCCTAATAATAAGGACTAATGCCTTCTCACCCCACACTAGTCCCTGCACTGAACACAGTAAGTACACCAGGCCATTTAGTACCCCAACATCTCTAGGATGTAGCTGTCATTACCAACCCCATTTTACACGTGTGTTCTCTGAGCACTAGACAGGAAATGACTTGCCTATAGTCCCTGGAAACTTCAGCATATGCCAGAGCTGCGATTTGAACCTAATTCTAGAGTACACACCATTTTCTACCCCCACTTCCACACAGCTTCCTCTTTCTGCCTGGACATCTGGGCCTACATCCACCATGACCTCTACAAAGCATGACTCGGCACTTCTCTCTTTCTTCCCTTCAAGCAGGGTGTTATACAATCTCCTTCCATAAGTAAGTCTTCAACTTTTAGAACTTCAAATCCAGGTGAACATGACCTTTGGAAGCTTGCATTGACCCATACGACTTTGTTTTTAGTGCCTACACTGTGTTCTGGCATGGAAGTGTTATAGCTGTCAGGTTGGCAGGTATGTGGGTAGGTACTGTCTTCTCTTTACAGGTGAGAATTCTGAAGCTCACATAACTTCTGGATGGGAAAATTTCCCTTGACTAAGCATCAGAAGACTCTTGTATCCTTAAATTTTATGTCCTCAAAGACTCTTAAAGCACCCAAGTTCCAAAGCTGCTGAATACAAAAGATATAGATAAACACACTTTATCTGGTTCTGAATTTTCATATTCAAGTTCACGTTTCTGATTCAAAACATACAGGTGTGTACACAATGTTGTGACATCTCATGAACTTAATGTCTTACTTGAGTTAAATTAAAAGGAAACATCATGTTAACTTACATTTCAAACACTTTATAATAATCTATGCAATTTCCATCTAATTCTACCAACCCTTTTTCTTTCCATACACAATTTATTCAGATAAAATGTATTTCCATCACATGTTGTTAAAACTACACATTGACCTTTCTCTTCAATTCAAAGATCAGACTCTATCCAGGAAAAGGACCAACTAATATTGGTGATTGAATGAACAATCGGTAAGTCATAGTGAGGCTGAAGCAGCCAGCAAAGCCAAGTCCAGAGGAGGGAGCTGAGATGCAGAGGCAAGAATGAAACAGGGTGTCATGGAAACACATGCCTGGGGTGAAGGATAAAACAATGAAGAAAACAGGTCAAGTCTACCCAGCATGGAACTGAGATTCTGGGTGACCGTGACTCAGGATGGGGAAGGGACAAAGAAGTCTCTATGACCAGTCAGATTTGCCATCCACAAGCTCTGGCTTCATCTTGAGGTCTCAGGCTGCTACTGGAGTTGCATTATTGTTCAGCAAAGGGAAGGGAAAGGGGAAAATCAGGGTAGTATCTCTGTCTTTAAAAATAACCAGGCGAACTCACATCCCATTGGCCAGACCCGACTATAGAGCTGAGAATGTATTCTGTGGGCTGGAAACCAGGTTTCTAGTTTATAATGGGGACTTGATGATTACTGTTTATTTAACAAGAAGAACAAGAAAATAATAAATACTAAGCAAGAACCGGTCATCTCCACCACTCCTGTTTGTGAGGGCTTAAGCTTCGTGATGTGAAAGAGCGACATCGAGTGAGGAAAATCTTGGCTCTTAAGCTACTGCCAACCACTCAGCACCCACCCTCTAGAGCTCCCAGGAGAGAGATTCCGCTTCTTCACTTGCCAAGAGAAGAGGTTGAGTTACTGCTCTGTAGCAATAACGTTCTATAATTCTTTCATGATTCTGTAATAAATTATTACAGAAATGTCTATTTTGTTCATTAACAAGAGAGTATTTGACATGTTAATTGTCATGGATGACACTTAAAAAACAACACATTTTTAAAGCAATCCAGTCTGACAGCACTGACCCAATGACTCCTCTCATGTTCTAGAAGCTGAAAGCAGGAAGGACACCCATGGCCACTTCCTCCTGCCTCACTGGTCCAAGCAATCTGTGCTTGGAGAAGCTCTGAGTTCTATGGGCCAAAGTCATTAATGCTGAGCAACCAAGAGTGATCTGAGACTTAGTGGCTCCAAAGGGGCCTCTCTTCCTCCAGCAGTCACCTTGGATCTGATTATTCTGCCACTTCAGGGAAATTCTCTGGAAGGCAACTCCGTGGAAACTGAACTGATTATTAAGTAGTATTCACAAAGGGAGATTTGTTCTTGTAACGAAGACTTGGGTTAGCTACCCCATTCCTTCTCAGTCTCACTGTTCCTCAATGTTCTTTCAGTGCACTGATTACACTGGAGTGAAGTGGTACTTCCAACACATTGTGTCTTCTGATTTCATTCTACTAAGGGATATGCACACCTTTACTGTCACCAGAGTGGTGGGCCCTGGTCATCAAGCAGGGCTTGGATCGGCAATGCCAGGGGAAGTTGTTGAACTCATAGTGGCTACAGAATGACAATTACAAACATTAAATCCTTAGATTTGGTGGCAAGGGGTGGGGTGAGGGGCATCACCTCTTAATACCATTGTCAATGCTAATCTTGAGATGGGAGCCAGCTCTTAAAGATTTCAGGAGGATACCTTATTCAGTCCCATCAGGTGGGCAAGTTCTAACCACCCAAGACTATTCAAGCCTTGTGTGAGAGTGTGTCTGACCCTGCTGATTGTCAAGAGGGCAAAACCTTCCCATCTCCATTACTCCCAGGGCCTCAGCTTCTAAACAAGTAGGCTAGTCAAGGAATTTCCTCAGGAATAAAAACAGGTTTCAACATTTTTTTTTAATTAAAACACTAAGTTTAACAGAGCTCTTTCTAATATCAAATGCAATTCTAAGATTTATACTTCTAGCATCTTGCTCAAATGCTCAAGACAATCCAGAGGTCAGCACTGTCATCACCCCCATTTCACAGGTAGAAAAACTGAGCTCTGAACTCTGTTCTAAGCACTTTCCATGTTCCAGGTCCTGTGTGGCAGGTGCATCTGTGCAGCCATGAACCTGAGGCTGGTGAGTCTGAGGCAGGGGCCATACTTCATGTCCCATCACCATGAACCATCTACTCTGGTTACTGCTATTCCCAGAAGTAGCAGTGGCCACATCTCAGTGGCAAAGTGACAGCCGAGTGTCCTCAGGAAAAGAACGACTTCTCTGCCTGACCAGCCTGTGGGGTAATTTTGAGTGTTCTTCTTGACTAAGAGGCTTCCAAACTGTTATTGCCCTCCTGGAGAACCTGGAAGCTCCTGATAGTCTTTGGGAAATGTTATTTCCAGACAGAGTCATATTCTGTCCAACATATAAACAACATAAAAGCATCATATGAAAATTAAAATAACATAAAAATTTCATTCTAATTTTATATAATAATTAATCTTTTCTTGAATGTTAAGAAATCAAAATAAAAACTATGCCAATAACAAGCTGTTTTAAGACTTTGGGGGGAAAGGCTTCCATCTCTGGTATGACATGATGACAGAAGATCCTCCAAATCCTCAGCTTTCCATCAGAGTGTCTCCTGAGTCACACACAGACATGTACACCACAAGGGCTCAAAGATTGTAAAGCACCATGCCGATGGTTCATATTATAGAACTGCAAGACGAATGGTCAGGATTTTTCACACACTGAAGAAACTTGATAGGCCTGTGACAAGAAAGCAAAAAAAGATATCTAGAGGCAAAACAATACATCTACCATTCAATTCATCAAGGAAAGAAGTCCCTTTGTTAGCCACAAAGGTATGTGTTAATCACTTAGCATCCACACAAGTTCCTCTCCTCTAGCAACAACATGGAGAAAGCTCATGTTCAGGAGTGAGTGACTTAAAGTGGGGCCCAGTTTAGTTTCATTTCACTTGTTAAATCATAAAAATAAATACTGAGAAGGGATGTTTGATGATGATATGTGGAGGTGAAAATGAATGTTTGGCTCTGGCATGGCACAGACAAGGGCCATGAATGTCAGCTGATGATCAAGAAACAGCAAAAGCAGCAACCTGTTTTCTTCAGAAGGTCACTAGCTGGGGACACCTAAGGGCTAGGCTGGGGATGGAGAGAGAAGGAAGAGATATCACCATCGGTCACCATCCCAGATTACCATCAAGGCCTGAGGGAAGATGCCATAGATGGCAAGATGGCTATTTCTTCTTCAAGAACAAATCAATTACCTGTAGTCATCCTGGCAGGTAAATGAAATATTCCTCTTGCTTAAAATAAATTTCAAATCATTTATGATAGGACTCGAGCATGAGTGACTGGGAAAGAAAGAAGAAAATGTTAAAATAACAAGATCTTGCAAACATCTCCTGAGTCATTTTCTTCTGGGTAGCAGGCCTTGCACAAAGCTCTGGGATAAAGAGGTGAAGCAGAGGTAAACTCTGAGAGTTCACAGGTCAGCAGGGGAGCCTAAGGTGCAAACTAGGTAGAAACCTATTATGGAGATAAAATTGAGAGGTTGTTGGGATGGGCTGAATGTAGAATAAGGCCCCATTCATTTCCTGAGCCAGTCTTTCCTCAATGCATTCTTGAGACTGTGGATTGTTTTGCTGATTGATTCCTAAAGTAAACCTGAGACTATATGTGTACAAAGTAGTAACATATACCTGTGAACTCCTCCAATGTCATGCATCACCCAGGCTTGTAGTCTAGAAACTTTCCCTGGATGCAAATTATGGATTTCCACACGTCCAAAAGTGCTAAGATAGAAGAGACAAAGAACATTGTTGACCCCAAACTGAATACTTCTGGCACCCCTAGCCCCTGTGAAAAGCCAGCAGGTAGGGTGCCACTGGTTATAACCCACCCTCTGGGACTGATGCCACCTTTACTCTTTCAGCATGACCCCCAGTGGATAATATTATCAAAATGAGATTCCGTATCTGGACATTGATGTTGATTCTTTAAGTACTTGCTTTCCCAAGACTGGACCTTAAACCAACACAATGACATCACCTGGGAGCTAGTTAAAATGGCAGAATCTCAGTCCACCACCCCTTGCTGGACCAGAATCTGCAGTTGGGCAATCCCCAGGCAATCCAAATGCTCAGGTAAGTTGGAGCACAGCTTTGAAAGACACTGGCACCCTAGTTGATTTGGCTTAGAGAATAGAGTGTTGGCCTGCAGACTGAAGGGTCCTGTATTTGATTCCAGTCAAGGGCACATGCCCAGGTTGCATGCAAAAGGCAGCTGATCAATGATTCTCTCTCATCATTGATGTTTCTATCTCTCTTCTCCCTCTCCCTTCCTCTCTGAAATAAATAAAAATACATTAAAAAAGAAAGAAAGAAAGACCCTGATGTCCTGCTCTTACACCACTTCTAAACCCCTCCCCATTAGTTTCTGACACCTGCCACTCCCATTGAAAGTACTTAGGTCCCTTATACCAGATTATAAAATTTTGGAATGTTAGCACTTTCATCCAAAAGCCCGCAAGGTTGAGGTCAAAAGCAGAAGACAAAAGTACAATCTTCTTCATAGAATTAAATATTAAAATAGGAGAGAAGGGAACTTAATTTGGGGCCCCTGGAGTGGTCCCTCCTCTCAATCCAGCCTTATCCCAAGAAAGATTGGAGAACAAAGACTGAAAAGGTAATCCAAGTGGTGAAAACTGTAAGTATGGAAGGCAGCAGAGGAGAAAGGCATTGGCATGTCAATGGTCTGAATTAAATGAGAGAATAATGGCTGATACTCATTGTGCACCTTCTCTCTGTCAGCACAGAGCTCATCATTTTTCACACACTGTCTCCGTTCATCTTCCTAGCACCACCACCTCTGCAGGTACACACTACAGGGGCTCAAAGATGTTAAGTGCCTGCATAATATCCCCTATGTAATACGTGATGGCCTCTTGGAGTCCCGCCTTTAACTGAAGTGCTGACGACAAGGAGACAGTGAAGGGCAAGAGCACAGCACAGCTCCTGATGTTCCCAATAGTTGTGGTGCTGGACTGGTACTGGACATGTTCCTGGAGGAAACAGGGGTAAGGACAGATTTTCGTGGCTGGTGAGGATTCAAATAGGCAGAAGGACTGAGGGGGCAGGTCAGGTGGGGGAACAGCGTGCACAAAGGCAGGAAATGGGCAGCATGGAGTGTAATGGAGGAGAGAGCTGAGAACATTCCATCAGACTTCAAAAAGCCAAGAGGAGGAGCTGCACACAGCTCAAGGACAAAAATAATTTTTATTTAGAAAGAAAAATCTCTCCATAGAATACAAAATTTTTACCTTTTTGGGGGGGGGCCCAAAACTTCAGGACTAACCTTAAACTGGAAAAGTATATTTTTCTATAGACAAACTATCTAATAGGAGGCTGTGCTAACCCTTGCAAATAGAATGCAAAGAAATAAGTACCTGCTTTTTCCCCCATCACCATTTATCCTCCCTACACCCTCTCCCAGCTCCCATCACCCTCCTCCCCAGTACCTGTTTTCATCAAAGGTGTTACTGATGGACCCATTGAGCACCACCTGCACCACACCACAGGCATTTTCTGCAAACTTAAAGAGAAAAAGAAAACTCACAATTCCTCAGCATGTAAACGTAATCAGCAAGCCCCAGCAGTTGCACCCAAAACAGTTCTCAGCGCTGGTGTTTAAGCGGGGGGAAGGTACCCTGTATGGCTCCAGCTCAGCATTCCCAGGTCTATGTACTTTCAACCCAATGACTGGAGGCTTATGCTACACGGAAGAGTTCTGGAAGCAGTTGCTCTCATCTGTGTTTGCACAATGAAGTTCAACACCATTGTTACTAAATATGTAGGTGGCTCAGAGGTTCAGCTGAGTAAGAGGAACATCGCTGGAGGAGGAAGAGAAAAGTGCTTTCTTGGTGCCATAAACTGTAGACATTGTGCATTTCACTTAGGGAGCAGGGTGGCTGATCCTGGGGTAAGGGGAATGGGGACACCAAGAAAGGCTACACTGAGGCCCGCACAGGCACAAAGAGAAATGCAGAATGTATGAATGAATGAAGGAATATTATTAAGCAAAGAGTTTTGTTTCCTCATGCAACATTCAGCTGGACTCCTTGCTAGGAACTGGAGGAAACAATATGAACAAAACAAAGCAATCTATGTGTTTCCTCCAGGAAGCCCATCCCCTGGGACTGGCTCATGGTGAGGATGAGCTTCCTGTAGGCTTGGCCACTGCTACTGAGAGCTCTTTGAGAGCTGCGAGCCTGGCTGTCTGCTTGCTGCTCAGCCCGGGAGCCTCGGAGCACTGTGGAAATATGAGGGAGGAAAAGAAGAAGGGAGAAGTCCAAACATGTAGGAGTGGGGTGGAAGGAGTCAATGGGGGCGGGGGGGGTGAGGGGGAGAGAGACATCTGTAATACTTTCAACAATAAAGATAATATTTTTTTAAAAGTCCAAACACTCTGTGATGGAGATTAGGAAAGAAATAGAAAAAACAAAAACAAAAACAAAATAACATAGGGTGACAAAAGCTGAAGGATGAATAGGGTTTCCCCTGGCAAACACTGAGGCAGCTGCGAACAGAAAGGCCGAGGGACTTGGGAGAACAGTGGTGTTTTGGGGGCGACTTCAGTGGATTTTGAAGTTGGATAGATAAGTTCCTTTGTGGAAGGCTTTGCCAAGAAATCTGGCCTTTCATCTACTGGTAATAAAATACCACGAAGCAATTTGAAATGGAACTGTGAAAACCCATTGTGGCTTCCATCTTTCTGTTGGGGGTGATGAGCAGAAGACAGAGGCCCAATTAATGTCAATCACAAGTGCTAACTCGACTGAGTGCTCACAGGGTTGATGCCAAACACTGGCCTGCAATGCTATGCAATCCTCAGAGCCCTGGAAGGAAGTGTTGAGCCCATTTACCCTAAGGTTACTTGGAAGCGAGAAAGTGGAATGGGGATTCAAACCCAAGAAGCACTGCCTCTTTTGTCAGAAAAAGAAAGGATCTACTCTAATAAAAGAAGGCTATGTACCTACATCTGTGAGCAAGCATTTGGCCAAGATAAAGGCGCAGTCCCAGGGTAGCTCACAATGGTAGGGTGCGCCTCGATCCCCTTCACCGCTCTGCTCCTAGCTCCAAGGGCACTATGGGGAACACAAGCAGGTGTTTGCCACATACAACATGTGACTTGACTTTAAAAGTTTTTAGCAGCAGCACTACCCCAAAACATGTCATAGAATGATAAAATAGACACTTTTCTCAGGAAAAGCAAGAAATCCCCCCCCCCACACACACACAGAAAAACAACAAAACCTATACAATGCCTCTGATTTTTCACAGCACACAGTAGTTACTCAACAAATATGCATTAAAGGAATGCATTCTTAGTGAAAAGGATAGTAGCATCTTGTTTAAACATTGCAGTAACCCTATGGGGCAGGCATCAGTTTTATCTCCATTTCATAAATGAGGACTCTGAAGGTCAAACAGATGGTTAAAAGATCTGTGCATGTTGACGTGGCCTCCTGACTTCAAATCCCAGGTTATCTCCTTGTCTCTACCAGGGTTTACCTGCATCTCCTTACTAGCCCATTGGCCTTGGATGAGACCCTAACCTCTGAGTCTCCATTTCCTCACCTGTAACCTTCCCTCAGTACCTACTGTGGGGACTAAATGGGATGACATAGGCAAGGCAGCTGGCTCAGGACTTGTCATAAATATGCAATTAACAAGTGTGAGTTTCCACTGTCCCAACTCCTCGGTGTCTGAATTTAATTTTGGAGAATTGTAGGTAGTGTAGTTGTACTTTCTCCCTCTTTTTCTTTCCCTCACTTCTTCCTTCTTTTCTTTCCCATTTTTTCCTAGTCTGCTTGCACGCAAAGGAGTGACTTATAAGAAAAAGAAATAGCCACAAAGGTAGCTTAGGGTGAAGTCAGAAATGGGGAGAAAGTGGCAGGGAAGACGGTGAGTATTTCCCAGCCGGATTCTGGATCTGGAGTTAGACAATTTGCGATTAACTCACAGACCTGCCACTGCCTGTGGACATGTAGCAGGTTGCTTTCTTGCCCACAGCACTATTTGCTCATCTGTAAAATGGTGTGATACTCATGGTACCTACTTCAGAGGGTACTTGTGAGGATGAAAGGTTGTAATCCATGTGAAGCCCAGGACTGTGCCTGGCACACAGGAAGTTCTGAAGGTGCCAATTGCTAAGACTGGTCCAGGAATCTAGGATTGGCCAAGACCTGGGCCAGAGGATTAAACCAAGCAGGACATTCCTGGCAGCCAAAGCCAAAGAAAAAATGGGTAAGACCAGGGGTTCTCCTACTAGAGCCCATGCCCCCCCCCCCCATGCATATCCTAAAATTGTGTGTGAAAAATCTTCTAGAAGGTACTCAGGGACATTTTCCTCAGGAAAGAATCCCAAACTTCTGTTCCTAAAAAGATGTGTGATCCAAAGAGAATCCAAATGAACCACTGGCTAGATGGCCTCTCCATTCCGTCGTCTCCCAGTGGTCTCCCAAATTCTCGAAGTTCATGCCTGGTACTCACCCTTTTGGACACCGTGTCCCAGAACACAGACGTGGGGTTGTTTATGCAGTCTTTCCTCCGGTGCGGGCAGGACTGATAGTTCATTTCTAAAAGACATAGTTTGTAGACAATAATTAAAGTGGAAAGTCACAGGTGTAATTAAACTCCGTTCTTCCCTGGCTGTTCGGTCAAAGAAGAGCCATTATCCAATGGCATTGCTGCCAAGATGGAGGATGGAGGATGGAGAATGGACACATCTCGACCCAATTTAACTAAGTGCCCCTGACTCCCATCCAAGTCCTTACCTTACCCTCCAAACCCCAGACAGGAACACAGTGACCAGCTTTGAGTCATCGTTCTGGGAAATTGAGAAAGCTCATCTGACAGAGACAAGCCCCCAACATCGTCCCAGAGTGCAGGGGGAATCGGACATAAGGCTGGGCCTCAGCCGTTCTCCCCAACCACTCCTCTGCTTCCTGCCAGCGCTCTTCTGTCCACAGCTTTCCTCTCCTCCTCCCCAGACCCACACCTTAGGGTCAGATGGCCTCAGAGTCTTTCTACACTCTCACCATCGAGGCAGGCTCAAGCTATCCAGCCAGTGTGGCTCAGTGGTTGAGCATCTACCCATGAACTAAGAGGTCACTTGCTCAATTCCTGGACAGGGAACATGCCTGGATTGTGGGCTCAATGCCCAGTAGGAGGCGTGCAGAAGGCAGCCAACTGATGATTCTCTCTCAACAATGTTTCTATCTATCTCTCTAAAAATCAATAAAAACATATTTTTTAAAACAAAGACAAGCTCAAGCCTCTATGAGGTACAATAGACTCAGAGCATGAACACAGTTTCTATGTCACTTCTCCCGAGGATATCTGCCTTCGTACACAACATTTTCTAGTTATTTTTGACATATAATTGACAAGTATGATAGTAAGATTTTAAAGTGTACAGTGCAGTGATTTGATATACATAAGTACATTGTGAAAAGATTTCCCCACTTGGAGTTAACTAACACACCCATCAGCCCACACATTTGTCTATGCGAGTATCTCTGTGAGAGAACAGGTAGGTTCTTCTCTCAGAAAATTTCAGTTATGCTTCTACAGTATTATACACAATCATCGCCATGCTGTACACTAGGTCTTGATCTTCCTCATCTCATAAGTGGAAGTTTGCACCGTTTTACCAGCCTGTCCATATTTCCCCACCCCCTGCCCCTGGCAACCACTTTTCTATTCTGTTTTTATGAATTCAATTTTTTTTAATTCCACATATAAACAACACCATGCAGTATTTGACTTTCTCTGACTGGCTTATTTCATGTAGCAGAATGCCCTCCAGACTCATCCATGCTGTTGAAAATGACTATTCTAAGGTTGAATAAAGTTTCACTATATATATATATATATATATATACACACACATGCCGCATTTTCTTTACCTGTTCATTCTCCAGCACAAGCACTGGAGCATTAAGTCCTGGGGATAGAGATGAATTAGACAGAAGCCCTGTCGCCAGAGACCCCCTGGATCCAGCATAATCGAATAAATCAGAGAAAGATCCACTGGGGTTGGGGGTGGTGTGCAGCACCATTAGGAAAGGTTGATGCTGAACTTGATTTTGAAGGATGAGTAAGAGTCCTCAGACAGATGAGAGAGAAGAAGGTGCTCCATGCAGAGAGTTTGTGCAAAGACCCGGGGGTGTGAAACCGCCTCGTGGGTTAGGCTCGCACCACCAGAGCAGGAGGGATGGGGACGGGAACTTGGAAGATGAGATATCTGAAAGAGAGAGGCAGGCCATGCTGAGGAATTTGGGCCTTATCCCTGAGGCAAAAGATCGCTATTTAGGCTGTAGAGTAGAGACGGAAAGAATCCTTGGTAGCCATGGAGGCTGATCGTGGAGGCTGACTGAGGAGTGGGCAGTGAGGCTGTTAGAACAGTCCCAGCAAAAACTGTGTTAAAGCGCTGGGCTCAGGGAGTGTGATGGGGGTAGAAAAGAAAGAATGACCACGTGAGTTGGTCTAAAGAACACTATTTCAGCCCAGCCTTGGAGATTCAGTGGTTGAGCATTGACCTATGAACCAGGAGGTCACAGTTCAATTCCCCGTCAGGGCACATTTCCAGGTTATAATCTTGGTCCCCAGTTGGGGGTGTGCAGGAAGCAGGCAATCAATGATTCTCTCTCATCATTGATGTTTTTTTTTCTCTCTCTCTCTCTCTCTGAAATCAATAAAAAAAAATGTTTTTTAAAAAGACTATTTTACATCAGGCTGAGTTGTTATTGGGGGGTTAGATGGCATCAGGGTGGGTACCTGGGGCCCATCCTCCACACTGACCTTTCAGGGCCCCCAGCAGAACTCAGGGCTCCTTCACCCTGCCATCCCTGGATGATCCCAATGACCCCCATCCTCACCAGAGGAGCCTGCATCTCCACACCAGTCGAGGCCGTCAGCAATGTAGCCCATCAGTGTGTCCTCCAGCGTGAACATATCCTGCCGCACCCTGGTGTACTGGTGAGCTAGCTGATTTGATTTGCTCCAAAAGACATTCTAAGGAAGAAAAAACACACATTATTTTTAAAATATGTTTTTATTGATTTTTTTAAGAGAGAGAGGGAGAGAGATAGAGAGATAGAAACATCAATCGGAGAGAATCATCCATCAGTGCCTCCTGCATGCCCCTATTGGGATAGAGCCCACAAACCAGGCATGTGTCCTGACTGGGAATCCAACTGGGGACCTCTTGGTTCAGGGGGTTGATACTCAACCACTGAGCAACACCAGCCAGGCATCACAAACTGCTCCTGAGATCAATTTAGTAAGCAAAAAGAAAACCTAGTCCACATCTTTTTAAATGGAAGACAAACAGAGAAAATATCAGTGAAATACTTCTAGCCAGGCTATGTGATGTTCAGTGCATCGCTGCTTTCCCTGTGTGTGTGTGTGTGTGTGTGTGTGTGTGTGTGTGTGTGTGTGTGTGTGTTCTAGGCCACAGTGTGAAACGAGCTTATCATTCTGGGTTGCAGTAAAAAAAAAGTCTTAAAGCCATTGATAAAAATCTTATACTGAACATAGACTCGGACCACATCTGGAGGAGACATTATGAAGTTACAAGATTCCTAAATTTGTCTGCAAAACAATTTTGTCTATGCATTGTTTTGGGATAAAAGTGTTCTTTGTTTCTCAAAGAGCTCAGTATTCCCCTGTATCCTTTCCCAATTCTCTCTTATGAAGAAGAAGAAGAAGAAGAAGAAGAAGAAGAAGAAGAAGAAGAAGAAGAAGAGGAGGAGGAGGAGGAGGAGGAGGAGGAGGAGGAGGAGGAGGAGGAGGAGGAGGAGGAGGAGGAGGAGGGCAAATACAGGGAGGGTTTTTTCAGGATCTCTTATAAGGGACAAACAATCAAATTTCAGAATGCTCTTCAGCTCCATGAATCTATTCACTCAAACTCGGAGGCTGTGGAGAGTGTGGTTTGAAGCCCAGCATCACTGCTGATTCGCTGTCTGACCTGGGACACCCACAGCCTCCCAAAGCCTCACTTTCCCCATCTGTACAATGGTAACAAAAATAATTGTAAGAAGCTCTCAGATGCTGAAGGATTAAATGAGACAATGCAAATAAAGTGCTCTGTCCCATGCCTGGTGCAGTCCCTCCTTCAACAGTGTCACCCAGGTGTCTGTGTACCAGGCACCTCTTTTGGGTGAGGTCTCCTGCTCCAGGAATTCCAGCTCTACCCCTGGGAGGAGGAGAGGCTGTCATCCAGCTTAAGGGCTTCACAAAGATGACTGGGGGCAGGTTGAATTTTCACCGCCAATGCTGACTTCAGAAAAGATTCACTCAAAGTATTAAAACCCAGGCTCCAAATCTCATGCCATTTCAACTGGTCACCTACCCCCAAGGATTCACTTTCTCAAAAAGCTCTTTGAGAAACAAAGAACACTTTTCTCCCAGAACAATGCATGGACAAAATTGTTTTGGCGAAATAGAGGGGGGGGGGGTAGCACCAGATCTGCTTGTTTCACAAGACAGCAAGTGCAAAAGTGGCAGTTGTTGTCTTGTTGTTGCTGTTTTGTTTTAGTTGTTGTTCTTATCACCAGAGGTCAGGGAGAGTTTTGTAATTAGCTAAAGTTGGGTTCTTTTTGTTTGGTTTGGATTGGGTTTCCTGTTGGGGTCTTTGTTGTTGTTGTTTTGTTTGTGTGTTTGTTTGTTTGTTTTGCCTGATTTTTAACCAAGTGTCCTTTCCTCTTTGGGTGATCCCATTTCTCTCTTACCTCCCTTCCCCCAATGCCCGAAATCCTACTCACATCCTATTCTCCCATGAGCCCCACAAACGCCATCCCTACCAACCACACCTACATTCTTTTCTTTTCTTTTTTTAAAAATATATTTTATTGACTTTTTTACAGAGCGGAAGAGAAAGGGATAGAGAGTTAGAAACATCAATGAGAGAGAAACATCGATCAGCTGCCTCTTGCACACCTCCTACTGGGGATGTGCCCGCAACCAAGATACATGCCCTTGGCCGGAATCGAACCTGGGACCTTTCAGTCTGCAGGCTGATGCTCTATCCACTGAGCCAAACCAGTTAGGGCCCCACCTGCATTTTTATGTCCAGATTTCCCTCCTCCCTCATCCTGGTCAATCTTTGGTCCTGTGACCTCTTCCCTCTGGCTTTCAGCCTCAGTTCTAAAACCAAGAACTTGACCTAGTTACCGTGTGGCAGGGTGTGGTTTGATTGGTCAGCTTCAGCAGCAGCTGGTAGTCTTGCTCTGAACTGTTACAAGGATCCTTGGAAAGGAATGCATTCATGAATGCCTTCCCTATCTGTCCGCAGTCTTTATGTCTGTGAGATAAAACATGGAAAATAGAGTGAAGCATGAATAATTAGATTTCGAACATACTTTTGGAGCATAGTTACCCCATCCCCCCCACCCCCCCAACCCCACGAATATCTCATGTAGGAGGCATCTACTGAATGCCACGTAGTTCCTATAAAGGGTCTCGTCTAAGCTGTACAACATTTTTGTGGGTGAGCATGACCATTCCTGCCCCACAAAGTCCCTGCCTTCATGAAGCTCACTCTCAGGTAAGAGAGGCAGACAGTACACATACAAGCAAATAAGCTAACGAAGTAAGTACAGATGATTATTAATATGCAGAAAATCAGCAGGGATGGATGACAGCAGAAGATAGAAGTGATGACCACTCTAGGAAGGCTGGTCAGGAGCAGTCTCCCTGAGAGATCATGTAAGCTGAGGCTAAAGGATGGGGAAAAGTGCATTCCAGCCCAAGGGTCCTGCATGAGCAAAGGTCCTGAGGCAGAAAAACCTTGCTGATTTTGAGGAACTGAGAGATCAACAGCATCACTGCAGTGTAAAGAAACAAGGGAAGGTGTGATATGGTGCGAAATCAAGTCAAAAAAATAATTGAGAGGCAGATGATTTGGGCCTTTGGGACCAAAGAAAAAATTTCAAATTGTACTTTAATTACCATGGGAAGTCATTGGATGGTTTTAAGCATGAAAGTGGCCTCATTTGATTTTTGTTCTGAAAAATCACTCTGGAAAACTGAGTGGGCCCCACAGGAGAAAATGATCTGAAATAGAAATTTTCACTCCAGGTCCCCTTTAAACAGCCCCTGGTGGTGGGAAAGCATCGCCTTCCAAGGCAGGCTATTCAATTTCTCCAGCCTCAGTTTCTTCATCTATAAAAGGGGATAATAACACGTTTACTTTCTGCCTCATGAATTTGACTATAGTAGGTACCTCAGATAAGGTATTTTTCTTTTCGTGTCTGGCTTTTCTTTTCACTGGGCATACTGTCCTCAGGGTTCTTCCATGTTGTGCATGTGCTAGGATTTCCTGCCTTTTTAAGGTCGAGTAACATTCCATTGTACGTGCATACTGCAGTGGTTTATCCATTCATCCGTCATGACACTTAGTTGCTTCTTCCACCCACTCTTTTATTCCACAAACTAGCGGCCCATTGCAGGAAGATTCCTGCAAGAATAGGGCTTCCTGTAGCTGGAGCGAAGCAGAGAAGGGAGCAAAACCCGCCGAGGTGGGCTTCCCTCCCACCTCCGCTGCCAGCTTGTTTCCCTCTCGTCTCCGCCACCCTGCTTGCTTCCCTGCAGCTTTGCTCCCTTCTGCAGCACTTGGCTTCCTTCTACGTTGTCTTCAGTCTTTGCTTTCTGCCTGCATATGCAAATTAACTGCCACCTTTGTTGGGTTAATTTACATACTTATCTGATTGGCTGGTGGGTGTAGTGTAGTGACACCAATTTGCATGTTTCTCTTTTCTTAGTGTAGATACTCACCCCGAGCCCATTAGAGCCTCACAATGGGCACAGGGCTGTAAAGATAAGTATGTGCTATTTCTACCCTTTAACCACTATTATCACAGTATAGGACAGAGAAAGAACAGAATTAATTACAGTTACAGCACTGGTGACTTGCCCGAGGCACTAAAATCTGAGAACACAATAAACAGTAGAACATGTTCTAATTTTCTACCACAGAGGACAGAAACAGGGTTCAACAAAAGGCCTTGGCTGAGTGACTCAGTATCTTCACTTTGAAAAGGTTCTGCCTTTGTTTGCTCCTCCAGTTGCTGTGACATGGTAAATCCATCTGTATTTGTAACCACTGTGAGTTTCTATTTGACCACTCTCTGGCTTTGCTTCCTTCGATGGGGTCCAGAATGAGTAGAGATGTGCAGCCAAGGAGGAGGGGAGGCTTCTTAGGGTGCCTCTGCCCAGTGGACTATAAAGCAGCCTTTGAATGATGTGCTTATTCACAGCTTGGGATAGCTTGGTGAGTGGCTATTTTCCACTGAGTGAGAAAAGTAGACTTCCACTTACAGAAAATAGAAGAAAGGCTGAGTAGCACCCTGGTAACTGGGGTTGTCTCTGGGAAGAGGAATAAGGGGAACTTACACGTTTGCCTTATAGTTTTCTTTATTGTTGGTTCAAAACAAAAATGGATGCATGAATTATCCAAAAAGAAGGGTTAAATTTTAAAATGAAAATATGGTATGATTGCCACCAATTTTTAAAAATTGAAGGAAAAAAAACATAGTAATTAAACCATGTTATAAAGATAGCTAAATTTAGTTACTAGGTATATAAGAATTGCTTCCTAACATCATGTTTATACTTTTTATAATAAGCATAGATTACCCTCAGGGGTCAAAACAACTTTCATGTTCTTATTAAGTTGCTTGAGCAATTAAACCAAACATTTGAGAACCATGGAATGTCTTAGAGCATGGGAACCTCAGGCCCAAGCGCCCTTGGTTGCCCTCCCCGCATTTTTTGTCTATGCAGTGTCTTTTCTCATCCCTCAACCAGTTAAAGACAATAACCAAGCAAGACTTAGCATTGTGCCCCACCCACTTCTCAAGGCCTAATGATGTGAAGTAAGGGTTGGGATGGCGTGCTTGCTTCGGCAGCACATATACTAAAATTGGAACGATACAGAGAAGATTAGCGTGGCCCCTGAGCAAGGATGACACGCAAATTGGTGAAGCGTTCCATATTGTTATTTCACCCTACTTATATATCTAATTTCCAATCCCCTGCTCTAAATCCATATACACCTCTCTCTTCTCTTTCGTCGCTATCCAAATTTTTTTTTCTCTCTGTCATTTTGTTGTTTGCTTGATTGTTGAGTATATTGGGTTTTTTTATGCTTGTTTGTGAGATTGTTTTGCTTTTTCTTTTTATTTTTCTGTTGGCTTCCCTTCCCCCCCCCCCCCCCCCGGTTATTTTTTTTGCTTCTGTGTTCCCTCACCTCGCTTGATATTAGTTGTTGTTTGTAGTTTGCATTCATCTCTAGGGATCTGTTGCTGGAATTTGTTGGGATTAGTGGCTGTTCTATTGGAGTTTTCTCCCCATCTAAATAGTTTCTTCCCCTCTTCTATTTCATTCTCTTTCTTTTCTTTTCCTTTTTCCAACTTCATTTTTGCACTCCTTTTCTTTTCTTTTTCTCTTTTTTCTTTTTCTCTTCTTTTTTCCTTATCCCCTAGTTCTCTTTGCTCTGGTGGTCACCTTTATTTGGGGTTATTAGTATCGTGATTACATTTGTGTTCAGTGTCTTGTGTGTTGTGCCTTGTTGTGTTGTATTTTGTGCCTTTAAATCAACGCAGCAGAGAGAGAACTACATAACCAAACACCTGGAGAAGAGAGATCATGGGGAGACAAATAAACAGCCCGCATATGAAAGAAAAACAGGCATCACCAGAAAAGGAAATAAACGAAATGGAGGCAATGGAGGCAAGCAACCTGTCAGAGAAAGAATTCAGAGAAATGGTCATAAGGTGGATGAAAAGAATAGAAGACAAATTCAACAATATGTGTAGGAACCAAGAGGAAATGAAGAAGAACCAAGAAGAAATGAAAAATGACATCACTGCTATAAAGAACTCAATAGTAAGCATCAACAGTAGACTAGAAGGGTTGGGATGGCGTAGGGACACGGACATCTTCCAGCGGAGCATTCTCTCTACTTTAAAGACTTCCTTTAGGAAGACTCATTGTCAAATGGCACTCTCACAAATCACAGATCATACCCAGACTCAAACTTTAAAATGCCAAGGAGACAAGTAACTGAGAGGCTGAGACAGAGAAAGGAAAAGGCACCACATCCTACATCCCTCCTGGATCCTGGACTGCCTTTCTATATGAGATATACCTGCCTGGCCCAGAAAAATAGACAAGTCACCCAGTGAGGTGGTGTAAGGCTCCTCACACAGCCAAAGGGACTGAAATGATGGAACTTCTCCGTTGTATTCCCCAGAGAGCTCTGCACTTTGCATGGCTTCCCAGGAACTCATGTCTACAGATTCTGAATTTGTTTTCAATGAGTAATCCTTGAATCAAGGGCCTCTGGCAAAGGGTACTCAAGACACAGAGACAGGTCTCTTTGTTCTAGCAAATATCGTTAGTGGATCTACCTGGAAGTCCTGTTGACAAGGAGACTAGACCAGCTCACTTGCCTTCCGTCTTTCCCCAGGACTGTCCCTCTTCCCAAATTAAGTAACGACATCACTAGCTAGCTGCCTCTCCTTCCTCCCTGGGACCTAGAGTGCGCAAGGTGGTATGTGGAGATGCTGGAGATGAAAAAGGGAAACACAATCCCTGGCACTTGCCAGGTGGCTTTGATATTCTTCTACTGAACATAATTTAAGGACGCCAACATCAGATGTGGTCATTGTGTGACTACAATAGATGGCAATGTCTACAGGTAAAAACAATGTCCAAACCAAAGAAAAATGACCAAACATCTTTTTATTGTAGCAAATATAGTGCCTGCTGCTTCTTTGCCAATGACAGCTTCAGCTCTGCTCCATTCCTCCAGCCTGGCTGATTTGATTAGTTTTGACACCGATCACAGAATTACCCTCATCCCTTCTGCTTCCTGGCAGCATCCATGCAAAACCAACCTCCTGGAAACTTCCTCAAACATCTCATAAAACAAGCCCAAATCCTGTAAGTCCTTTCTAACATTTTTGAACTGAACTGTCCCTGACCCCATGGATCCCCACAATGAGTGCTCATTCTCCTTGCAAAGAGCCAGAAAGCCCAACCTTACTCATCTGCAGTGTGTTCCTGGTGGTCTTGGGTCAGGGACATTGATGATAATAGGCAGTCTTGGATGGGATGTAAAGAATCAAAGGTCTGGGGAAATCAGCATGCCTTAGTCAGTGCCTATGTTTGGCAGAAACGCCAGGAACAGCTTCTGAAAGTCTCCATTTGTTAATAAGTTTTCTTGCTGAGCTGGAGTCTTAGCCTAATAGCAGTGTTCTGCTTGCAGTGTGGGCTGAGCGCAAATGTCAGGATTCTAGGTCAATGTTCCATCCTCCCCTTCCTACTACTCTGCTCCTTCCAAAAGACCCCAGACGATTCCTCACTTACCCTATCCTCCAGAAGTCACCCTCTCTCTTTTTTTTTTTTCTATTTTGTTCATCAGTTTTTGTTCCTTAGATTCCACATATAAGTGAGATCATGTGATATTCGTCTTTCTCTGACTGGCTTATTTCACTTAGCATGATACTCTCTGGGCCCATCCATGCTGTCTCAGAGGGTAAGAAATCCTTCTTTTTTTACAGCTGCATAGTATTCCATAGTGTAAATGTACTACAGCGTTTTTATCCATTCATCTACTAATGGGCACTTGGGCTGTTTCCAGAGCTTAGCTATTATAAGTAATACTTCTATGAACACAGGGGTGCATATTGGTGTTTAGGGCTTCTTAGGATATATTCCTAGAAGTGGGACACTGAGTCAAATGGCAGCTCCATTTTTAATTTTTTGAGGAACTTCCATACTATTTTCCATAGTGGTTGCACCAGTCTGCATTCCCAGTGTACTAGGGTTCCCTCTTCTCCTCATGCTTGCCAGCACTTGTCATTTGTTGATTTGTGCATGGTAGCCATTCTGGCAGGTGTGAGGTGATTTGATTAGTTCTGATAATGCTGCCTCCCACAGGAAATTTAAACTCAATGCACTGGTCTCATAACGAGGCTGTTCCTAACAGAAGTGAGGCCCTCAGACCCCAGAGGGGTTGTCATTTCCCAACATGATAATTTGAAGACCAGAATGGGGCACAGTTATTCCCAGGCAATGTATAGAGTGAATGGGGCGAGAGGGATGGGGCAGAAAGGGTTAAAGTCTTATGTTCTGACATCCATGCTAAGGTGGAAAAGCAGATATATTTGGTGGTTAAATCCAGGTGGTATGTTGTCAACTACTTCAGGTTTCATGACACTATGCTGTCCTCTCTCTCTAAACCTAAACCCTTCCCACTAGCAATTATATTTCAAGTCCCTGTCAGTAAAGCAACATCGCATTCATAATGTGTTGTTCTCCAGGGAAAGCTCACACACCCTAAATCCTAAAAGCTCTTAGATCTCGAGGGGCACTTGCACACATTCGATGAATATTCCTGCTGACAAGTCCTTCAGGACAGGTTGTCTTGGCCCAAAGAAAACAGGAAGGTTACCTCCATTAGTTCTCAAATTTGAGGCTACTGGAGTCAGTATTTAAGGCAAAGACTGCCACCTTGTGGCAGAGGTGAGCGATTCGTGAGATTCGTTAAGGCACTTGGGATTTTCTCAGCAGAATTAAAATCAGAAAACTCTTCAGGCCAAAGGAAAGCTTAGAACTCATTAATTCATTAATCTGGACAATATTTATTGAGAATATAGTATGTGCTAAGCACATTTATGGGCATGTAGGACACCAGTCCTTGTGGGAGATTACATTCTATCAGAGCAAGACTCTAAACAATAAACAAGTTACAGAATACCCTAGACATGTTTGAAATCCATGGAAAAAACTAAAAGTAGAGTAGGATCAGGGGGTCAGGAGTGATACAGAAAGAGGTGGCAATATTCAGCATTAAACAGGGTGGGCAGTGGATGTCATTTGAGCAAAGAATTAAAGGAAGTGAGAGACTTTGTCATACAGACATCCAAGGGAATAGCATTCTGGGCAGAAAGAACAGCCATACCAAAGACCCTGATGCCTGATATGTTCAAGAAATGCCAAGGAAGCCAGTGTGGCTGAAACATAGTGAACAAAATGGAGAGTAGATGGAAATGAAGTCAGAAGGATAACAATATTGGACTGGGCAGGTTTCATAAGTCATTGCAAGGAATTTGGCTTCTACTCATGGTGAACTGTAAAGCCATGGAGAATTCTGAGCACAGGCGATACATGATATTACTTACGTTTCAAAGGATTTCTCAGGTTGCTTTGTCGAGTATAGTCTGAAAGAAGGAAAGGGCAGAGGTAGGTAGGCCAGTAATCTTGGCAGGTGCTGATGGTGATTTAGATCAGTGTGGTGGCAGTGACAATGGTGAGAAGTAGTAGATTCTGGATTCATTGCAATTTCCTAAGGAGCTGGATGTGGGGTGTTAGAGAAATAAGGAGTCAATGATAATTCCAAGGTTTGGGACCTGAGACAATGGAAGAATGGAGTTGCTGATAACTGGGATGAAGAAGGCTTTGGATGGAGGTGGCTTTGATCAGGAATTCAATTTGGGTCATACAGAGTTTTAAATGTCTATTAAACATGCAAGTGAAGCTGTGGAATAAGCATAGAGGTATATGAGCCTGAAGTTCAGGGGAAATAAAGCTGTGAGACTATCCAAAGCAGCCGAAAGACAAAGAAAAGAAGATGACCAGAACTGAGTGTTGGGACACTCCGACATAAGAGATTGGAAGGAGAAACCACTGGAAAAGTACAACCAGGGATATAGGACAAAAAGCAGAAGATTGGGTTGTGCTGGAAGTTGAGTGAAGAAAGTATATTAAGCAGAAAGAAGTTATTAACTGTGCCAGATGCTCTTGCTCAGTCCAGGAATACGAAGATGGAGAACTAAGCATCTGAATTATCATCAAGGAAGTCATGTCAAGAGCTGTTTTAATTTCCAAATGCAATGCCAATCTTTCTGTTATTGATTCCTAGATTATTGTCAGATAACGTACTTTGTGAATTTATTTCAGGAAAGTTCTTGGGAAAAACATATTTTGAGTGTATCATAAAAAAAAATAAACCCAATATCCTGCCCTAGCTGGTTTGGCTCAGTGGATAGAGCCTCGGGCTGTGGATTGAAGGACACTGGGTTCGATTCCGGTCAAGGGCACATGCCTGGGTTGCTGGCTGGATCCCCAGTAGGGGTTGTACAGGAGGCAGCCGATCAATGATTCTCTCTCACAATTGATGTTTCTATCTCTCTCTCTCCCTCTCCCTTCTTCTCTGAAATCAATAAAAATATATTAAAGAGAAAAGAAAAGAAAACAATATCCTAAAATGTATCCATTTAAACTCTCACCTTTTATCCCCATTCCAAGCCTGAGCATGTTTCTCCTATAATACTAAGCCAGTTCCTTGGTATTTATCTGTTGGAATGAAAATTATCCTAAAATTGCAAAGCAAAACAAATTATTTTTTTTTTTATTGAGAAAGTAAAAATAAATTGGAGTGGCATTGGTTAATAAAATTATACAGGTTTCAGGTATTCAACTTTACAAAATATCATCTGGGTCTGATCATTCTGTGACAATCTTGTAACCCTTTACTTCAATTTCTTATACTTATTAAAATATATTTATCACCATTATACTATCCAATTGTTATAAATATGAACTTATAACATATATTTATATTAATAAAATACAACTATATCTATTTTAGATTTCCATTCTCTTGTTCAGTAAATGCAGCGTGCTTCCTGAGAGACAGGCAGAGTATTAGGTATTTAGCTAGCAAAAGCAAAGTTCATTCTACAGGGAAAAAACCCAAAATAAAGACAAATTAAAATAAAACTGCAATAAAATCTTCCCTTATAACATTGATAAAAATCAGAAAATAATAAAAAAGTTCAAAACAATCTCTGTAGTGAAGTTATGGGGAAATAGAAACTCTCATTGCCTCAAGAAGAGAATTGCTGCATAAGGAGAAAGCTGGCTATGTTTTCAAAATTAAAATGGCATTTTATTCTTTAAGTTAGTTATTCCACTTCCAGGATTCTATCTTGTACACATGAGGATTTTGATGCAGCATTTTTGTAATATATTGCAAAGGTTTAAAACACCCCAGTGTCCATCAATACAAGTCTGGTTGTGGTAACAAAAATAATCCATCGAATGGAACTCTATGTAACTTAGAATGAGACTACACTGATCATCAAGATACATTGGTAAGTGTGAGGGTGGTGAGACAGAAGAGAGCATATGTGGGGAGAAATGAATATAAAATTATATATTCAGAGAACATTTCTGGAAAAATAAAGGAAAAACAAGTAGCACTATTTGCCTCTAAGAAAGAAGAAAATGAAATTTGGGGTGGGGGAGAAGTAGAGGTATTTTACTGGTTTATCTAAGAAATCATTATCTAGCAGAATGAATATCTTTGCTATTTACTATCAAACTTCCCGAAGTTTGATGGTAACTTAAAGATCTTGTCTGTTAGAGACGTGGATAATTTCTGACCTAAAGAAAGATATCCCTGAGAGAGAGCAAGATATTGAAAACCTATTTGAAGAAATAATGACAGAAAACTTCCCCTAACTGGTGAAAGAAATAGACTTACAAGTCCAGGAAGCACAAAGAACCCCAAACATGAGGAATCCAAAGAGAACCACACCATAATTAAAGACACACCATAATTAAAATGCCAAGGGCAAAAGACAAAGAGAGAATCTTAAAGGCAGCAAGAGAAAAACAGTTAGTTTACCTACAAGGGAGTACCCATACGACTGTCAGCTGATTTCTCAAAAGAAACTATGCAGGCCAGAAGGGAATGGCAAGAAATATACAAAGTGATGAATAGCAAGAACCTACAACCAAGATTACTCTACCCAGCAAAGCTATCATTTAGAATTGCAGGTCAGATAAAGAGCTTCACAGACAAGAAAAAGTTAAAGGAGTTCATCACCACCAAACTAGATTTATATGAAATGCTGAAGGGTGTTCTCTAAGAAGAGGAAGAAGAAGAATATGGTAAAGATAAAAAATTATGAACAACAAAGTGACAAAAAATACATAACTATCAACAAGTGAACCTAAAAATCAAATGAATAAAAAACCTGATGAACAGAACAGACTGGTGAATGTAATAGAACCAGGGGCATGGAAAGGGAACAGACTGACAGTTCTCGGGGGGAAGGGGATGTGGGGGTTGCGGGAAGAAATTGGACAAAGAGCTTACACCTGTGGATGAGGTCAGTGTGTGAGGGGAAGGCCTGGAGTGAGGTGGGAACTGGGTGGAGGGGAACTATGGGGGGAGGGGGGAAGTGGAATATCTATAATAATCTGAACAATAAATATTTTTTTAAAAGAAAGATATCCCCAAAGCCTATGGCATTTTACTACCTTGTAGAACATTAACCAGCTTAATATCTAACCTATAAATATAATTATAATGCTACCTTTTAAGTACTTATAAATACTTAGTGCCTACAAATGTTCTTTGAACTGACTTTATCATTTCCTGACTCATAAATCTTTGACACATGTTGATTCTCCAGGTTATGAAGTCATGCTCTTAAACTTTTGAACCTTCTGCTTCAACAAATGAATTTGAATTGCGATGATATGTGCAAATGTGGCTGCTATTCTCTACTCTTTGCTAATTGGGGCTCTGATTCCGCCTTATACAGCTACACAGTACACATCTGACCCTTGCAACAAGACTGTTCTTGAACCTGCACACCCTGAATATCTCCTGTCAGATTTCTCCAAGCCAAGCAGCCCCAGGCCCTTGAACTTCTTTATCCAGCTTCTCATCCTAACACCCCTCGTTCCTGACAAACACCAGGATTCTGAAGCAGCACTGGAAGTAGATGTCATCGCTTGGAACAACTCTAACCAATTAGCAGCATCTATGTGTTCTGCCGTGTTGAGGATTGTGAGACTGGACCCCGGCTCATGTTATATTGAGGTTAGGGTAGGCATAAACCTGGGTTGTCTGCTAAGAGGAGACATCTCTGAAGCTGTGTAAGACTATCTTCTCTTTTATTTTTATTTTTAAATATATTTTTTATTGATTTTAGAGAGAGGAAGGGAGAGGAATAGAGAGATAGAAACATCAATGATGAGAGAGAATCATTGATCAGCTGCCTCCTGCACGCCCCACACTGAGAATCGAGCTTGCAACCCAGGCATGTGCCCTCACCGGGACTCATACCGTGACCTCCTGGTTCATAGGTCACACTCAGCCACTGAGCCACGTGAACCTGGAGAGTCTGTTTCTATTTTGTTTGTTTTGTTTATTAGATTCCACATATAAGTGAAATCATATAATATTTGTCATCTCTGGGTGGCTTATTTCACTTAGCATAACACTCTCCAGGTCTATTCAGATTTCCTTCTTTTTTTACAGCCAAGTAGTATTCCTCTTGTAAATGTACCACAGCTGTTTATATCCACTCATCTACTGACGGACACTTGGGCAGTTTCCAAATCTTGGCTATTGTAAATAACGCTGCAATGAACATAGAAGTGCATGCAGTCTTTTGAATAAGTGTTTTGGTTTTCTTTGGGTATATTCCCAGAAGTGGAATCATTGGGTCATAAGTCAGTTCCCACCAACAATACACAAGGGTTATCTTTTCTCCACACCCTTGACAACATTTGTTGCTTGTTGATTTATTGATGATAGCCATTCTGACCCATGAGAGGTGATATCTTCTTGTGGTTTTAATTTGTATTTCTATGCTACTTAGTGACATTGAGCATCTTTTCACATGTCTTTTGGCCATCTGTATGTCCTTTTTGGAGAAGTGTCTATTCAGGTCCTTTGCTCATTTTTTAATTGGGTTGTTTATTCTCCTGGTGTTGAATTCTCTTTATAAATTTTGGGTATTAACTCCTTTTCAGATGTATCAGTGAATATGCTGTCCCATTCAAGCGGGTTGTTTCTTCATTTTGTTGATCATTTCCTTTGCTGTGCAAAAACTTTATTTAGTTTGATATAGTCCCATTTGTATATATTTTTCTTTTGTTTCCTTTGCCCAAGGAGATATATCAGAAGAAAATATTGCCATGATAAATATATGAGATTTTACTGCCTTTTTTCTTCTAAGATTTTTATGGTTTTGAGTCTAACATTTAAGTCTTTAATCCATTTTGAGTTTATTCTTGTATATGGTATAAGAAGATGGTTTTATTCTTTTGTACATATATGTCCAATTTACCCCACACCATTGATTAAATAGATTATCTTTTCCCCATTGCATGTTATGCATCCTTTGTCAAATATTAATTGACTATAAAGGTGTGGGTTTATTTCTAGACTCTGTTCTGCTCCATTGATCTATATGCCTGCTTTTATGCCAGTAACAAGCTATTTTTTATTCCTATGGCATTATATATAGTATAGTTTGATATCAGGTAGCATGATTCCTCCAAATTTGTTCTTCTTTCTCAAGATTTCTGTGACTATTTGGGTTTTTTTGTGGTTCCATATAAATTTTTGGAATATTTTTTCTAATTCTGTGAAATATGCCATTGGTATCTTGACAGGAGTTGCATTGACTCTATAGATTGCTTTGAGTTATATAAACATTTTAATAATATTAGTTAGTTCTTCCTATCCATGAACATGGTATATGCTTCCATTTATTTCTATCTTCTTTAATTTCTTTCTTCAATGTCTTATAATTTTCTGAGTACAGGTCTTTTACATCCTTAGTTAAGTTTATTACAAGGTATTTTGTTATGCAATTGTAAATGAGGTTGCTTTCTTCATTTCCCTTTCTGATAGTTCATTATTGGTGTATTAACATGCAATTAAATTCTGCATATTTATTTTGTATTCTGAAACTTTACTGAATTTATTTATCAATTCTAGTAGTTTTTTGGTGGAATTTTGGTTCTCTATACACAGTATCATGTCATCTGCAAATAATGACTGCTTTACTTCTTCCTTTCCAATTTTTTAAAATATATTTTATTGATTTTTTACAGGGAGGAAGGGAGAGAGGTAGAGAGTTAGAAACACCGATAGGAGAGAAACATCAATCAGCTGCCTCCTGCACACTTCCCACTGGGGATGTGCCTACAACCAAGGTACATGCCCTTGACCAGAATCGAACTCGGGACCTTTCAGTCCACAGGCCAATGCTCTATCCACTGAGCCAAACCGGTTAGGGCAATATTGTGAAAATATGTACATGCATACACAGGTATATGTTGAACATATATATGTATACACTAGAGGCCCGGTGCACAAAAATTTGTGCACTCAGTGGTGGGAGGGGGGGTCCCTCAGCCCTGCCTGTGCCCTCTCACAGTCTAGGACCCCTCAGGAGATGACCACTTGCTGGCTTAGGCCTGCTCCCCGGGGGATTGGGCCTAAGATGGCAATCAGACATCCCTCTGGCAGCCCGGCAGCCTTCGGGGGATGTCCACTTGATGCGGGGAGCAGAACTAAGCTGCAGTCAGACATCCTTAGCACTGCTGAGGAACAGGAGAGGCTCCCACCACCACCACTGTACTGGCAGCCATCAGCCTTGCTTGTGGCTGAGCAGAGCTCCCCCTTGTGAGAGTGCACTGACCACCAGGGGGCAGCTCCTGCATTGAGCGTCTGCCCCCTGGTGGTCAGTGTGTGTCATAGTGACCAGTCATTCCCCATCTTTCTGCTGTTAGGGTAAGTTTGCATATTACCCTTTTACTATATAGGATAGAGGCCTGGTGCACAGGTGGGGGCTGGCTGGTTTGCCTTAAAGGGTGTCCCAGATCAGGGTGGGGGTCCCCGCTAAAGTGCCTGGCCAGCCTGGGTTAGGGGCTGAGGGCTGTTTTCAGACTGGCCACACCCCTTCAGGGAGGGGGGTATTGCTGGGGTGCCTGGACAGTGTGGGTGAGTGCCTGATCACTGTTTGCAGGCTTGCCACAGCCCCTTCAGGGTGGGGGTCCCTGCTGTGGTACCTGGCCAGCCTGGGTGAAGGGCTGATGGCTGTTTGCAGGCTGGCCAAGCCCCCCAGCAGGGACCCTCACCCCAAGAGGGTGTGGCCATCCTGGGTGAGGGGCTGATGGCTGTTTGCAGGCTGGCCACGGCCTCCAGCCACCCAAGCTGCCAGTGGAGGCTGGCTGGAAGCAGGTATCTGGGATTTATTTGTCTTCTATAATTGAAACTTTGTTTCCTTGAGCAGAGGCCACAGCCAGCCAGGGCAGACAGGAAGCTTGGCCTCCTGCTTGCTCCAGCTCCCTGGCTGCCAATTTGGTTGGTTAATTTGCATATAGTCGCTCTGATTGGCTGGTTTGTGTGGTTTGGGGGGTAGCAGAGGTGCAATCAATTTGCATGTTTCTCTTTTATTGGATTAGGTATGTGTACATGCATGTGTGTTTAATAGTGAGCAAACATCCTGACAAACATGAAAAGTCTGTGGTGCATCCTGCTTACCATGTGGATGTGCTAGCCAAAGATGAACAACAGCAAACATTTAAAAATGTCAAATTAAGGTGAAAATTAAAAACTATCACTTTTATCATTAGCAATTCGGATTGGATATCGCTTGATTTAATTAGTACTAAATGTCACAACCTGAAAGAAAGCCTCAACTTCTAGTTTCTCCTTCAATTAACTAGTTAATTATTTGTAAGCAAAACTTAAGGGACCCTGGCCCTCTTTGGACTTGGACAATTTGCGCTGAAAACCTAGGGTATTGCATGAGAACCGAACCCTTGAGCACCTCCGGAGGCAGGGGAACAGGGGGTGGGTAGTGGAGAGCTCTCACCGCTCCCAGCCCAGACTGCAGGCATTTTGGAGGCAGAAGTATGCCATCTCAAACTCGCTTTTGGCAGCCCGAACAGTAGCTTCCCAGCGTGTTCTACCCTAGTAGAACTGCAAAAATGTGTTCTCTGGCGGGAGCCAAGCCCTGGGAACAGCAGTCAAGAAACTGGTTCTCTTAGGAGAGAGATGAGCAGCCAGCGGGGAGGGGGCACGAGGAACCTTCGGCATTGGTCCCTTGGCCTGATGTGGGTGGTGCTTCCAGGGTTTGGGCCCATTCACCCATTCATTGAGCTGATTCACCTTGTCCTTTAAGTTATAGCTCAATTGTTAAAGTTGTTCCTGTTTTGCTTTGTCGTGTTAAATGAGTTCTCTAATCACATTCATTTCAAGGCGCGCAAGAGGACTCGGGGTGCTGGGGGTGCTGTTTTCTATTAAAGAATGAAGCTCATTTCAGAGGTCTGGCCCTTCTGACCCCATTCCGTCACGTCAAGCTCTGCAAGCCACTTAAGCAGGTGTCACCTGTAACCTTCCGGGCATGTTCAGGTCAGAGACCGCGAACGGAAAACCCATGAGAAGCAGAAAATGCCAACAACGCCCACCCCCCACCCCCTCCCCCGCGTGCGCGTCTGCGCTGGTTTTCTGTCCCTGCAGCCGTGGGCGCCGAGCGGGGCTGAGGGTCAGGACGGCCCGGGCTCCGGGCTCCGGGCACCTTGCCCAGAGGGCGGTCATCTCTGCCAAGTGTTCACAGCTGAGCTGGCCTCCGCGCACACGCTCCGTGCCACAGCTCCCCGCTCCTGCAAGGGGCGCGCGAAATGGCAAGCCGGCGGGCTCTCAGCGGACCCGAAACAGAAGAGGCTTTGTTTGGGCCACCAGACAGCGCCCCGCGCCCCAGCCGCGCGCATCAGCCGCAGCGCCGCGCCCATCTGTGCCCCCCAGACGCCAGCTCACCTCAGCTCTGGCCGCAGGACCTGAGTGTAGGTGTAGCATCGGCCCAGGACGATCTCCGAAAAATGGGGAGTGGTGCCCGTCCCATTCCACTCCCGGTGCGGGGGCGTCCGGGGCCACTTCAGGACTCCGACCACCACCGCGACGATCGTCCCCGCCACCAGGACACACAGGAGGATGCCCAGACAGACCTTGGCTTTCTTGGAGAGGTGGCAGCCGGGTTCCTCCCCGGGCACGGGGCTGAATCTGTGGTCGGACATGGGGGCCACTACAGGGTCAGCCGGTCGAGTGGGAGGAGAGGCCCGGCCAGGCTGAGCAGGAAGGGTGGAGAGAGCTGCCCCTTCGAAAACTGCACCTTCCCCTTTATTTCTCGCTTGCCTTTTCTGGGCTTCCTTTCCCACCACAGCCCCTCCCTCGAAGTTCCCTGGCCTGCCAGACCAATGAGGACTTGAAGGACTTTAAAAGACTTGAGCAAGGGGAGAGTCAGCTAAGCTAGGAAAATTCCTTGACAAGGGGAATGGAGAAACTGCGACAGCTAACTCAGCAATTTACAGCCAGTTACAGGTCACCTCCCTAGAGATGACATCTAGGCTCCAGGCTCAGAAAAGCAGCAAAACCAGGTGAGTAGCGCCAGGGCCAGCTGCGATGACCAGTGACCTGCTGCCCTGACTGGGACCAATCAGAAGAAACCAGGAGTCTGAAAGAACACACCTGGAAAACAGGACTATTCTGCTGAAACCCTCCCCTGAGACCTGCCTGAAGAGAGGGATGAAGCCCTCAAGACAAAGGACCCTCCCAGGAGCACCCCTGCACCTTTCCCAGACATCCCCTGCCTCTCCTCCCTTCCCCCACCTCTAAATGCTAAGGGACGCCACAAGGCTTGCAATCAGAGGAGCCATGGGCAGGGGCAGCTGCTCCAGGGCTAATTCCCAGAACCATGGAGGCCCCCTTTTCTCTGGCTTCCCAGGAGGCTGACAGCAGCCTCGCCTCCGCTCATTTCTTTCCTGTAAGGTTTCTAGAGAGCCAAAGCAGCCCTGCGTAGGCTCTCCTGTTGCTTCTTCTATGCTAAGCTCTTCCTTGTTTCACTGTCCTCAATAATAAACGTACCCTCATAATAAAAAATAAACGGGAGGGGGAGGCAGCCACCGTCAACTTACCCTGCAGATGCCTTCATAACACACTGTGTGCTCTTGCCCCTTTCGGCCAGCTCCCTTTGGCAGTCTTGAACTTTACACTTTAGCCACACTGCTTCCTGGATGCCTGCCTTGGCACCTTTGTACAAACAATGCGGTTCACCAGCAAAGCAATGCTCTCCGTTTACTTAGCGTTGACAAAGGCCTGCTCAGGCCCCTGTTAAAGGCTCCACTTATCCTTTCTCCTAAGTGGCATCCTGGTAAAGGTCTGGGTTCAAACTTAGCTCCATCACCCAATGGCTGGGCGAGATGGGGTAAGTTACTTGGCCTCTCTGTGCTTCAGATGTAAAGTGGGGCAATACCAGTACCCACTGCATGGTGTTTTTATGAGGAGTGAGTTCATATTGACAGCATGTTCCGTGTAATGCCTGCTACATGGGAAGCATGCCGTCAGTGTTCGCTATTCCTACTTGTTTTGTGAGCATGTGCAAGGGGGTGCCTTTCTATCCTCCATGGGTTGTGCTTAGAAAATGTCTGGCATGAAGCGAGCACGCTAAGTGGTGGTTCAATGAATAACCGAGTGGCTTTTCCCAGATATCCCCTGCCTCTCCTCTCTCAGGGTCCTTGGCACAGGGAGGTGTGGGTGGGAGTTCTGCCGCCCCTCAGAGGGAAGATAGAGCGCGTGGCATTAGGGGTTGGAAGGTCAGTGGTCTTGCTGGGGTGACCTCGGACATTCTCTTTTGGTTGCTCCTCAGTGAAATGAGAAGTCCCTGCTGAGAGTGGGCGGGGTGCTGGGGAAGCTCCAGGAGCCTGGGAGAGCAGATGGAACGGGAAATGAGAGAGGTTCTCAGGGTGTCATGAAGTGGTCAGGAAATTAAAGAAACACCACACATGCAGGCACATTTTATCCAGCCACCCACCTCTACTTAGAAGAAAAGGCAAAAGTAGGCAGACAGTTGGGGGCTGTCATAACAAAGCCACAGAGTCTGTTGTGGCTTAAAGAACAGAAATGTATTGTCCCACAGCCCTGGAGGCCAGAAATCTGAGTTCAAGATGTCAGCAGGGTTGATTTCCTCTGAGGCCTCTCCCCTTGGCTTAGAGATGGCTGCCTTCTTGCTGTGTCTTTACAGGTCTTTTTCCTGTGTGTCCACACATCTGTGTTTCAATTTCCTCTTCTTAGAGGGACGCCAGTTACATTGGTTAGGACCCACCCTATATGGACCTCATTTGAACTCAGTTACCTCTTTAGAGGTCCTGTCTCCAAATCCTGTCACATTCTGAGGCCCTGGGGGTTAGAACTCCAACATATGAATTTGGGCTGGGGATACCATTCAGCCCACCACACCAGGTAAGAACAATGCAGTAAGAGAAAGGCAAGCAGGCTGAAAGTTTCAGCAAAGGTGGAACTTTAATAATGGGACATAGCACCTAAGTCCCACAGAAACCTAAGTGAGGACAGAAGGAAGGTAAGAGACAGTGAAGATGAGCAACCCCATGGCTGGGAGGGCCTTATGGGGCCAAAGAATTGATAGAAGAGGGAACACATCCCCTTGCAAATCACTCCATCCAAAACTGAACTATTGATCTTTCTCCTTCAAACCAGATCTTTCCTGGTCTTTCAAATTTCATTAAAAGGACCCCCATCTCCCAGTTGCTCAGGCTGGAAACTTCTAAGTCTTTGAACCCTTTCTTCTCCCTCCTTCCACACATCTATCCAGAAGTTGGTTCCTTCTGCCTGATATTAATGATAGTTGATATTTAATATAACTTATAATTAATGATATTTAATATTCATTTAAATATCTACTCTACTCACCTCCACTGCCACCAACTAGTCCAAGAAGAAGTTGGCCTCTTTCTCACCTAGGCAGGGCTCACCTGGGTCTGAACTTTCTTCCATATTGAATAATGTGCAGGGTCCCAAACCAGTTCCTGTGTAACAGAGCTTTTCACCTGCTCCTAACTGTACTGAGCCATCTGACAGCAATAGTGTTCTGGCTTGTAGAATGAAGCATTTAAGACCTGCCACAAAAACAACTCCTTTAAAAAGGATATTTGGTTTTGATAATAAAAGAGTAAATGTCAAATACAACTAAATGAATATGTAGAGCATCATTCTTTCTCCTGCCCCTGACTCCCCTCTTACCATATTAATGAACAGGCAGCCTTCATACATGTACATATATACAGAGAGCTAAGCCTTCATTATTTTATAAAAACCATGGCATATTGCACACCCCATTGTTCACCTGTCTTTATTCACATAGTATATATTTGGAAGACATGACCCGTCAGCATATATTGCTCTAATTCCTCTAATGACCCCTGGTACTCCAATATACCATGGTTTATTTAACTAGACCATATAAATCAGCACCCACGTTTTCCACTCCTTGGTTACTACATTAAATTTTGGAATAAATATTGTTGTGTCCACATATTTTTCTACACGTCCAAGAACATACACTCCTCAAAGTAGACTTCCTGGGTCAAAGGAACAAACATTTAAAATTTAGCAAGATAAGAACAACCAAAGAGGTTGCACCAATCGACACTCAAGCTCACATGGTTACACTTTGGTATTTGTTTTGCTTTCATTTCTGGTTATGAATCAGCACTTCAGCTTTTAGTCTCTCCTTTTGTTCAGCGTAATGGACACTTGAGAAAATAAAATCTTGAGGACCCGGTAATCCTTTGCTTGCCCAAGTCACTTGGTCAGTGAACCCTCCCTCTCACTGCGTTCTATCCTCCTGCATGTAAGGCGCTCAGCTATCATGTCAAGCATCCTGGTATGCTCTTGGCAAAGAAGATTGCATATGTGCAAAGAAATACCCACCTCCCTGCACTCCCTCTGGTTGTGGCATGATTTGGGGAAAGTTACATTTTTAAATATTTTCTCATTTATCTAATGGATACAGTACAATGCTTCCTCAACAGGGGATTGATTGGGATACTATACACACTAGGAAAGGTTAGGCACTGGGCAACATGGTAATTTTGTCAATGTGAACTTATTTGCACATAGTTACAATACACTGAGATGCTAAAAAAATGGTAAATTCTGGTACGCATTCACTCAACACAACTTAAAGCCCCACCACATGCCAGGCACTGTGGTAGCTTGCTGAGGACACACAAGTAAACTGGCCTTGAGGGAGACTGTGTAGAGAAGTTAAGTACACGGGCTTTCTGGTCAGGTGGACCTGAGTGGGCTCTGTCACTCGGGCAAGGAACAAATCTTCTCTGAAGGTCAAGTGTCTCTTCTGTAGAGTGGGCTTAACCATTTTTGTGGGCATCACTGAATTACTTTGAGGATTGAGTTAGGTAATATAGAGAGAATTCAGCTGGGTGTCTGACCACTGGCAAGAATCCAACAACTACGCACCAGTATTGGGACAGCTGTATTTGGGCAGGAGCGATGGAATACGTCATAGTGGGTTTCAGGAAGTCTGGGAAAGATGGAGACATTAGGTCAGGCTGACGGGCAAGCAAGAATTGCAAAAAGTGGGAAAGGCATTGACACTGAACAGTAGGGAGAATTTCAGGGTGGATGTTGGGACATCTGGGGCACCAGAGATGTGACTTCCTCCCAGACACACAGCTGGTGAGTAGAAGCTCTGGTTCTAGAATGACCTTTCTTTGGTCAACTTCATTAGTCATTTCAAATCATTCAAGTAAGATAATCACATTTTAAAATCTGAAAGTAGAGAAAAGAAGAAAAATGTCCCCTCTGTTCCAAAACCCAAACCCAACTGCCACTAACATTTTGGTATCTATCCCTACAGTTTTTGCTAATCTTTGACAGCTTTAAAAGCAGTTACAACATATACTATTTGGTAACATGTACATATTTCACATATATATGTATATGTAAATATGCAAATTATGCTGTTTCCACTTCACTGTGCATACATGATCCCTGGCTGGCCATGTCTCCTCTCTCAGACCCTGAGCCCAGGCCCAGATCCCAACCCAGCTCTTTTGAGCCTGAGCATCTTATCCTGTGATCTCCCAGGGTCTCAGGTTTTCTGTGAGTACCTGTGAGTGAATGTATGAAACAAAGAGCCACCAACTTCACTGATAAAGCCCTGGAGGTGGGGGCTCCTCCTGTCCTCACATCTCCCACTAGAAAGTGAGCTTCATGAGAATAAGGCTGCTGCCTGTCTTTGTCCACCATTGAGCCCTTGGTATGCAGTTAGTGCTCAAGCAACACCCGCAGAGTGAACAACTCCCTCTCCCACAGTTCAACCCCAGCGACTATAGACTGGTCATCTACCAGGGATGGAGAAACTAATAGGTCCAGGATCTTCATCAGTTTCAGCAGCCATCAGCAAGCATCTGCTGATCATCTGCTGAGTAGTGAATCACAGTGTTGAAGGGAGAAGAGGAGAGAGGGTACAATTAATTACATGATTCTTCTTTTTCCTCCTTCTGCAATAGTTGCTAGCATCATTGAGTGTCAAATACTTTGTAGGCTACAATATCCTACAACATTGCCATCATGTAACACTTTCTTATTTCCGTATTACAGATGAGGAACCAGAGGCTTAGGTTGGCTAGAGTTAGTTCATCAAGCGGGGTTTAAACCCAGACAATCTTATTTCAAACCTGCGCAACTAAATCTACCTCTATCCATTAGGCAACAGA